AATGCTCACAATTTCTTTCTTATTAATATACAGTTTTGAAGTTATGACTGAGTACAATCTTAATCACTGGCATTACAAATGAATGGTGCCATCTGAAGCTGATGTATTAAATTAAACAAAAATGACAGTTGTTCTGTGATAGGGGTAGTTTTGTATTATAGTATTTCTATACATGAAATTGTTATTAAATTTTACATGTCCAATGATTCATTCAAGTATTATTATTGTTGTACATTTATTATATAAAGTATAGTGCTTTATAGAGATTTCGAGCACTGATAAAACTGATAATCTCACATGTGAGATTATTTATGATAATGGTCATTCCAGAAAACATCCATACCACCCCCGTGGAGGAATAGGAAGTTAACCCCCCTACCCCCCTTCGAATGTCCTAATACATTTACTATTATCAGAAACACTTTTTCTCCCTTCCTCCTCCGGACGGCAGAAATTTCCTCCGTGGGGGGGAGTATGGATCTTTTCCGGAACGACCTAATCTCTGCCTATGCCTATGCTGATAATCTTGCATCTATTTGAATGATACAAATCATTTAAAACTTGCATAGCATGACTTGTTGCTATGGCTAGCTTCACCAATGACAGCATTATAATTATACATAACAAAAGCAAGAAGTTATAAGCATTGAAGGTATTCATATAAAACCACAGGTGGCCAGGCTCTGTGTGGGTATTTATTTATTTTTTAATTTTGTTATATTTTGCATTACAAATTTACTTTAATTTTTTAAATTATAAAGTATAACTTACTTAGTTTCCTTTATGTATTCTTTATGTATTTGGGGGTGGTTTTAGTTTGATATAATGATATAAAGACATCATGAGAGTAATGGCAAAGCGGGATCATATAAACAGCCCCTTATTCAGCCAATTGTGCATGCTGCCTTTGATCCCTTGGGGGGTGAGGCAGCACTTTCCTTGCGATAGTAACTTCTAGTATAAAGTCTTTTTTTTAATTTTCCGTTTTTGGTTACTCGAATGTTGCCAAGTCAGATTGATGCCATTGATGTATTATACCGTATATCGGCTTCAATCGCACGCGGCGATCGAATGTAGCCAGAAATTGTCGGCGAGTCATCTATATTTTTTATTTGCTGGCCTAAATCTGTAATTTGAACGTGTGGAATGTTCTGCTGCTGAATTCTGCTGAATATAATTTGCGACAAGTGGAAGTTCCAGAGTTTTAACCAATTAGCATGCTTAGAATATATCACGTGTTGTAGTAATTCGATCTGGTTCACACAAAGACAGTGCTCTCACTTTTAAGGAATTATCCTTAAAAATAGGAATTTTGAAGAGTTTTAAGGATTTTTTTAAGGAATTTAGGTTTTTGAGGATTTTTTTAATAATTATTAAGGAATTTCCGAAACATTTTATCTTGGACTAGAAATGTTGGACTTGAAAGTAACAACATTATACGCACATAATTACATACATTTGTATGTTCTCTATGTCATAAATGACATATGGCTGTCTTTCCATTAAAATTCTCAAAAGTTAAATGTCAGTATATGCTGTTTCTTCTGAAATCTACATATTTTCTAAACTCTTCATGCAGGATGCAGCAACGATCAACTGAAATACATCATGTTGAATGTTTTCTTTATCGCATTTAATATCCTAACAATCAAATGTTTTCAGATTTTGGTGCTTAGAAACAAGGTTGAAAAACTGAAAAACAGAAAAAAGAGAAAAAACACTTTTTGCAACTATGTGATCAGGCCTTGTAGTAATTTTTACCAATTTAAGGAATTTTAAGGAAATCTGAGGAATTTTCGAGCTTTTTCTAAGGAATTCGAAAATTTGATTGTGAGAGCACTGCACAAAGACCAAGCGCCAAGTTCAATCCTTTGGGAGCAAACATTCAACGGGGAAAGATATTTATTTAAATTTTCTACATATAAAGTTCCAAAGACCTAATAAGATACATGGAATTTGTTTTCAAAGGTATGTTTATTGTGTATTTACTTATTTGTGTGCAGAAAGTTACTTCATATACTGTATAGTTATATTTTTAAATCGAAGACGAAGGCCTGTATATTATGTATTTTAGTCGCTTCGCCGCCGATTTGCCGATCTAGACGTTCAGTTTTAATATTCGATTAATTTGTATTAGCAGAAGTCCATAAGTCTAATCTACAGTCTCTACTTATATGTGTTGTTAGCCCCGTTTACACGAGCAAATTTTATTTGACAAATTTCATTTCATCAAAAGCATTTGTTGTTCAAATGCATTTGTCACAATAAATTTGTCACAAATTTATCATCTACACGAGCAAAATATCTCTGACATATGAAATTTGTCAAATAAAATTTGCTCGTGTAAACGGGGCTTTATTTGTGTAATATACATGTATGTTGTATTTCGTGTTAAATAATAATGTATTCTTTAATATATAGCCTATGTGATCTGTTTGAAATGCAGTCACATTTGACAGCATTGCAATAGCCCATCTAATATTACCCAGTGTATGGCATGTGCTTGCTATGGTAGCCCTCCTATCGGCTATCAGTCAGCCTAAAACACATGTAAGGGGCTGCTTATATAGAGGCGAGCCACCCAGGTAACCTGCCTATAGCTCGCTTTCCCTGAATGAATGTCTGGTTACATGAGCCTCTTTAGATGGGCAGGCTTGCCAAAACAAATCACCCAGACTGAGTTATATAGTAGAAGCACATTTCCCAATAAAGTGAACCAACAAGTGATCAATCACTCATACTTTTGCAGACAGTCTCGTGCACTTTTTACATGAGCCTCCGGCTCGGATGATTGGGTAACCGCATCCTGTGTATACAACTCTAAATAAATCATTACATTACATTACATGTATAAACTACAAAAACAATCACAGAGATCTTTTTACCCAGGGCTCAGGGGTAATACTGTGCCAAATCGTTGGTGATTGTATATAATTTATATGGAAAATCCTAGCTTGCCAATTAGCCATTAGCAAGATTTTGGGACAATGAATTTTGGGTCAATTATGCACCTCTATTTTAAACACCCTTTACCAGAAAAGTTGTATTCATTTGGATGATGTTAGTTCAATTGCATGCTTACATTAAATGAGTAAAAGCATTTGAATTTTGTATTTCTTGCTTTGTATATGCAAACAACCAAAAATAGCAAATGTATTGTCAATCAATCAATAATTTTTATTTTGTGTGTGTTGGCGTCATGTACTCAGGTGAATATATGATGTTTGTGATGTTACTGTGAGTGTGCATCCACACCGGGCAAGCTGAAAAGTTAGCTTGGCCACAGTGGGAATCGAGCCTGTGACCGTGGCCAAGCTAACTTTTCAGCTTGCCCAGTGTGGATGCACACTCCTGCTGAAGTGAGAGTAACATCACAAACATCATATATTCACCTGAGTACATGACACCAACACACACAAAATAATCATATCATTGAATACCCCTGTACACTGATATCGAAGGAACTAGACTCAGTTGCAAAATATCATCAACTCGAACAGACTTGACCATGTAGCTCAGTTGACAGAGCATTGGACTAGTATCCCAAAGGCCACAGGTTCGATTCCCACCGTGCCCAAACTAACTTTTCAGCTTGCCCGGTGTGGATGCACACTCAGAGTAACATCACAAACATCAATCAATAATTTGCTGCTGTTATATATCAACCTTATATATATTTTTCTTACTAGGGATTGTCATTAATATATGGATTTAACAAAAGCTTCCCAGGAGAAGGCAAGTTGTCTAAACAAGTGGTATTATATGTAATTATTAATGGCATTCTAAGAACTTCATGGTCTATTTGGAAAATGTTATTCTTTTGCTGGAGAGCATTTTTCTGAATTACCAAACCATGCAAGGGATGGAGTTGCCGACTTGTGGTATACAGCTTGTTTTGTACTAAATTTTTACTAATGGACTTGCTTGACATGTTTGATTGAGCAGTGACACTACATACATTTATTACATGCAGTATATTTTACTTGTAAATATTCTACATTGAACAGAATATTAACCCTTTAAGTGGCAATGTGCTTTACTTTTTTATTTTTTCTGTCTAATGTGGTCAGACAATTTTTTCTCATTAAGGAGAGAGTGCTGCCACTTAATGGGTTAAAGCTTTTCTGTAAATGTAAATTTTTTGAACGATAACTATGTAAAGCCGCCCTGTGATTCTGATCAGCTTTTTAACCGTCAAGGGTCCTCAAGCCCTAAGAGTCCATCGCCCTGAGAGTCAATCAAGCTCTACTGTAACCAAGAGTTCATGTATATAATACTAGTGTCATCCTGGGCAGTTGATTTAATACACTACCGGTACCAATGACACCACCATGGTATATATACAGTCAGCAACTTGTGGTTACCTCTTGGCAAAAGGGCTCTTTAGGTCAGAGGGCTGTGGTAGAATTGCAGGGCTGCAGGTTCAATTCATGCTGACAGGCTTGTAATTGTATTCCACATGTATTCATGATATCATTCTAATCAAAATTTCATTTTAGAACTTCATTAAATATTATAGGGTGTAAGAGTATATCATTATATTATGCTACAGCAAATTGTATTTCCTGCTATAATATATCTTATACTTGTAGGGATAATAAATTATTTTGACTCGAAAAATGTCTTTATTGATTTCTAAAGTTAGTTAAAGACTTTTCTTTACTCCGATATATAGAAGTCATTTTGTCTCCAAAGGAGTCGAATTGACTCCAAAAGTGGAGTAAATAAAAAAGGTACAGAACGACTCCTTTTTTGGAGTAAATTTTACTCCTTTATTTACTCCATTTTTGGTGTAAATTTTACTCCTTAAGTAGAGTTGTTTTTACTCTTTGAGGAGTAAAAACAACTCTACTTATGGAGTAAAATTTACTCCAAAAAAGGAGTCGTTCTGTACCTTTTTTATTTACTCCACTTTTGGAGTCAATTTGACTCCTCGAAATTAACAGTGTTTAAACCTGATAAAACACTCCTAATTAGTGTTCTTGATATAAAGATTATATATGCATCCGGCTAAACAGGCACAAATTCCAGATAAAAATTTACAACAAACGTTACCAGTTAGGAATTGGTATACTGTAGGTTTGGAACACTTTGTCAGCAGGGATGCAATGAAAATTAAAGCCAGGATTGTCGCACGCGAAGATATATTTCCACGTCGCATCAACAACATTTCCCAATAAGAATGCAATACGCATTCCATGCAACTATTTATTAATAGCTAGGCAAGCTGGAACAGATTCATTACACTGGTTTTACCAAGGCCTACAATTAATTATAATTACTGTTTTCCTTCTTATTTTTGAAGATGATTTTTACAGAATATACAATCTTAAGTACAGCAACGCAAGGATTGCAAAATGGGGGAAAGGCGATGGCGAATGGGGTACATATGATGGAGATCTTTACGATGATCAAGTTTGGAAACTTGTACCAAGATTCAAAGCAGCAATATCCAATATCAATATATGGAGTTGTGATAACCGTGAAGGATCCGTAGATTTTTCCGAAGAAAAAAGTGTCACAATTGGGCTGAAGCTGACATCATCAAGCACTGTTTCCACAACAGTTGGACTCGAGGTGTCATTGAAAGCATCCGCGTCTTTTGCTGGGTTTGGTGCTGAAGTCGAGTCGAAGATTTCAAAACAAATTCAAAAGTCGTTATCAAACACTGCAGAGAAAGATTGGATCCGTAAATCCACGATCAAATTTACTGCTCCAAAGGGGAAGAATTATCGTGTAAAGCAGCTTACTTGTAGTTTCATGAGCCCTCTAGCTGCTGATGATTGCGTATTGAATTGCGATTACGTGGTGGAAGAAACAGACGGTGACTTCCCAAATTAATCATACAAGGATTTTTTTTTCATTTTGCAATTTGAACGAATTTTACAAATCTTATATCATATATCCTTAGTTTAGTCAGCAGCTCTTGCCAATAATCAAACAATTTGAAGTGTATAAGAGATTGAAGTCTATGTAGATGTTTTCGTTTTTGCTGAAATATAATATTATATTGACTTAAATTCACCCAACGATATGTTTATATAGAGCTATGTAAATGACACTATTACTGAGTGACTGACGCTTTACTTGATCAACTTCGAAAGGATTATTACACCTGGCAAAGACAATTAATATTTTAGGCTCTTTAATCTTCCAAGGGCTTGAATTTCGGTCACATTTTGCTCGTGGTATATGACGAACTGAACCTCAACTGAACTACTGACTACAGTCACACAACTAAAATATCGATCGCCTCTGTCCAGATACAAATATTACGCCGTATTTTAATTTTTTTCATTGTAGTGCTCATTTATCATTTTACCAGATGAGCATCAAACACTTTGCGAATTCAGCTATCATTTTACCACACCAGGACCCTGCCAACTGCATGGGAGAGGGGGCCGGGGATTTCCCAAATGCTGCAATTGTGGAACGTGTGAAATTTTGGGGGGATAATCTGAAAAATGTAGGTTAATTTGTAAAGATTAGTGTCGGAAAAATTATTTGTAACCCACTTTTTTCCGATTAGGGAAAAATTCCAATTCGCCCTCCAGCTTCAAGACATATCGGTCGGAACGCCCCTGTACATAACTCTGAACGCGCCAAAATAGCTTCTTCAATATAATTACTGTTAAAATCAAGAACCGTGCCTTCATAGAAAAATATTCTCTTCCCACGGACTTTGGCGTGCTGCATGCATGCAGTCACAATATACATGACATTTTTAAATCATTTGTAAATTTTTGAATGCGAAAGAAAACGACAATATATACATTCTGGCACACACCAAGACTATAAATCGCAAACCTACAGGGGCGTAGGAAGCATCCAAAAGTTGGGGGGAAGGGCGTCTTCGAGGGGCATTTTCGAAAGAAAAGGGCACCTAAAAAATTTTTCCCGGAAATGTTGGCGACGGGGAGGAGGTCAACTCAAAAAATTTTCCCGACATCATTATCTTCGCAAACATATAAAAAATTTTCCGGACATGTCATAATTTTTCCGAAAATAACAAAATTTTTCTGGACATGGCATAATTTTTTCCGAACATCACAAAATTTTTCCGGACATACCAAAATACTAAAATAAATGCAATCATAAATCAAAGGCTATTGAGGCAAACGGCGATCTCAACGACATTTTTCACGTACTCAGAAGGGCAATTTGCCACCAACAAAAGGGCACTTTTGAAAACTTGGGGGCCTGCCCCCCCTGCCCTCCCTGTTCCTACGCCCCTGCAAACCTATATAGATGTTCAGTTAATAATTCAAGTGGATCTATTTTTACAGTATCAATCACGTAATTATATTGGTTGTTTTTGAATTTTGAGGCAAAAAAAATTTCAACAACTGCCTCAAACAAAATTCAGACAAGTTCACAAGGAAGAGAAGAAATGGCAATGAGAATACTAGGCTGCGAGCAGGCTCTCTAGGGGAAAGAGCGCGTGCAAGGATCCCTATGATAATTGCGTGCCGCCCTTCAATTAGGATGTCACAGGTCAATTAATAATAACCAATCAGCGCAGACCGGAAAAACACTTCAGTATTTGTCAACATACACGTTGCACTCTATTTATACTCTTTCGTTAATTTCGTATATTATAACAGACCGCCCCTGGGGCATCGTAAAAATGTTAAAAGCTCGAGGTTTTACCGTGTAATATATCAAGTTGTACTTTTTATTACAGTCTGCACGTGTTTCTGTAGGCACAGTAAGTTTAAAGTTGTATATTACCCGCTAACTAATTCAGTTGTTTGGAATTGCTTCGCGCAGCAATGTATATATATAGTAATAATATAACTAACTTACCGAAATTTATGCCTTTGGTGAGATATAATATGTCCATAGTTCATGTCAAATTTTGCAACAAAAAGTTGAATTAAACATGCATGTGGCAATTATTGTAAACAAAGTGACAAGTAGAAAATAATGTACATTTTAACGCCGCATGCTTAAAAATATTAAATAGTCATGCAGTGACATACTGACATTGTAAAACAAGCTTACACACAATATGCACTGAATATTATCAGAATAATTCTCAATATTGTTTCATAAAAGAGAAGCGATATAATGCTTTCTCCCTAGCCCTAGGTTTCGGTTTGCGAATTTGTTCAGTCTTTCCCTTAATTTTATAGTTAAAGGTTCAAGAATTATTCTTAGCCTAGGAGTCAGATAAGCCCAGGACTCAAGAATGAATGCAAGCTTTTAGAATTCATCTTTATATGAATACTATATTAATTTACAGTAATTAAAAAGTCAACAAAGATACAAAATACATAACACTTTTACCTCTACATTGCCGCAATTCCGAAGCTTTGTGTTGCTCGGTTTTACAAACGGGAAGTGTAAATTATGGAAGCTTGTCAATCACTTCATTTGAATCAGTTATCAACCAATCAGAGCTCTGCGTTCAAATATTGGACGCATGCTCATGCATGTAAACGTTGTAGGGATCATTGCAGGCTCTCCTTCCCCTAGAGAGCCTGCTCCCAGGCTATGAGGCAGTACCTTACCACTGATGAGTAAAATCATCTGCAGACTAAATAATAAAGTAGGTTGCATTACCAGTTAATGGGTTAATTCGAAAACAACAACTTTGTTCTACTACACAAGCAGCTGCACAATGCATCAGTCAAATCCAAGCACGGACATTTGCCTCTGTGGCATGTGCCAGCGGAGGGTCATTTGCATGCAAACCTTTGCCCGGGGGTGCGGCATTTAAAATTAATATTATATTTTCCAAAGATTACTAATAAACTAAAACAACACTATCATATCAGTATCTTGTGATAAACAGTGTCCCAAAAAATGTCCCTAATTATTGTTTGTAGTACTGGAAACATAAAGCTAGGGTAGCAATACTCAAAGATGCTTGGGCATTTTGGGAAACACCCGGTCACAATTGGAGATTGCAGCCTCAATTTGACTCATGTGACAAACTCCATATTTTTGCCTTTAAACCCTTAATGTCAGTATATTTGTCAAACAAGTGGTTGAACATGATGCCTTGTAAAAATGCTAGATGGTATTCAATAATCGTACGAAGCATAATCACACATGGTTTCAATAAATAGATTGTGAAATAGAACATGTCAATTTCAAAAACAGTTGTGGTAAAATTTTGTCAGATTTTCTTATTTTAAAAATTTGTCAAAAGCCAAGGCGTTGCCCGGGGGTGGATGCGAATGCCTGGATTTGACTGATGCAAATATGCTCTAAAATTTAATGTACCTTTCCTTTGGACCAAGTTGACTATAACGATGACCATCACGAGTTTTAAACGTTTCTACCGCAAGATTCCAACGACCATCTGTTTAAGCACACTGCTGGGAAACCAGGATGATCTGTTACACAAATCACTTCTTTGTCAACTGACCCAGGATAGCCCAAATCATCAACAAATTCGACACATTTTTCGATTTCTCTGCAACAGTAGCATTCTTTAGCATTTCAGTGTTGCAGTTTCCACACCTGCACCTAAATGACAATAAACTAATTTATACAATATGTAAATATCCGGAGCCAAACATGTCAACAACAAGTTATAAACAAAATCGCCAAGCATTAATATTGAACAAGTTTAGGTGTTGAATATTACAATGACGTTGCAGGCTTATTCCCTTTAAAACGCATGCGCAACTCTAAATCTCTCATCCTTTCATTCTCTTCCTCTCGCTTTCGTATTCTTCTAGCCAAGCTTCATCAGCACTCAGTTCATCCAAGAAGCCTCTTCTTCGTCTGAATTGCCATCCACATGGCCGCCATGACTGGCTTCAAAATATTCGGTTTCAACGCGCTCAACTTCAATTTCACACGGACTACTAACAGACGAATTGCTAAAGATACTCGAGTGTGAATTTGAGCTCGACATTTCAGGTTTTTCACAAAAATATAGTCGATTTTTTTTACTTGCCTACCCAAATTGTAATACAATTTTCTAGTGTATACAATTTCCTATAATACATTGTGTTCGGTGTTCCTCCGACCCAGTCTCTTCTGTGCGCTACTTTTTTTCAAAATTGGCACTTTGAGTCGTTATATCTCAGAAACTAGAAGTTTAAACCAAAATCTAATCTAGAACTTCTACTGTAACTTTTTACACTCTATTCGAATCATGCAAAAGCCATTTTGGATTTATAGGCACTTTAAGTGGGGATATTCGCTTAGATATCTACAATTAGAAACAATAAAAATCGTAAACATTTTAAACTGGGGCGTGATGAGAAATGAACCCGTTTACTGGCACTCACGAATAAAGTTGTCCGGCGCAGGGCCGTTGCGAAGGGATATGGATTGGGGGGGGTGTCGAAGGTCAAATTGCCGAGTGACGCTAGTTGAATTTGCCTAGTTTTTCAAAAGTTTGTAAAGGTTAGATATAGGTAATGAGAATCATATTGGTGTGTTGGTAACTGAGGGACACCAATATGGCTCTTGTTTTGAAATGGATGCCTGTTCGTGGGTTGTTGCTTTATATTAAACATATAAAGCTGAAAAATATTTAAATTTAACATAATTTCACAAGTGCTAAATCGAGACTGAAACTATGTGCACACGGGTCACGTTTTTGAGCGTTTTTGCAGTGCTGTTTTCAAATTAGCGTTTAGGCGCCTTGTTCACATTGATCGTTTTTCTCGCAACATTTTCTGAGAAAGCACTAGTTTTTTATAGTCTTCGTTTCCAAATTCAAACACGGAATTTCATTTTCGCCTTCTACTTTTCTGTTTACACAATAACAAAGTGCCAAAACGACGAAACGTTTCAGACATAGAGAACGAATGTTTGGCATCGTTTTCACTATTCGAAACGTTTTTGCTTCCTGACGTCGTTTTCATACGTTTTCGTGTGAACAGAACGTACGTGAAAATGGTACTTTCAGTTTCAGAATTTAACGCATTAATTACAACCAAAAACCGAAAGACGCTCGGAAACGGTACCGTGTGCATATAGTCTGAGTAACGAGTGTCTTAGATTGTGGTGCAGACGCGCATCTCCGCAAAGTCAGAAAAGTTATCCAAGTATTACCCTGGTTCCAGAGGTTTATTTTTATTATTTTCATTGCGAAGGGGAGAGGAAAAATAAACCTCTGGTTGAAAGCGGCAATTGGTTCATTGAGCCGCGCCAATCAGTTTGAATTAGGGTCAGATCCTGACTCTGTCTCCTGATTGGATGATCGTATTAAAGCTCTCTGATTGGTTATAGATGTTCTATTTGAACCAATCAGAGAACTTTAATGCAAACATCCAGTCAGGAGACAGAGTCAGGATCTGACCCTAATTCAAACTGATTGGCGCAGCTCAATGAATCAATTGCCGCTTTCAACCAGAGGTTTATTTTTCCTCTCCCCTGCGCAATGAAAATAATAAGAATAAACCTCTGGAACCAGGGTATCCAAGTATCTGCATGTGATTGCATTGATATTTTGTTTCAATATTTTCATGGCAATTTGATGAATTTGACCTTTTTTATCCCCAGGCGTCGAATAGACAATTTATAATATTTTTTGTATTTTGAGCAGTCTTAAAACTCTTAGTGCCGGATAGTGTTAACTGGGCTTTTGTACGACCTGATTTTCCAAGAGTTTAAATTTTATGCGTCAGAAAGCGAGTAAAATGGTATGATCATGTGCAAACGATCGATACCGATCGCTGTATGCGGTATGTCTTTCAAAACTGTAGGTTGATCAGAGTTAACAGTAATTTCGCTAAAGAACTAAAGAAGACAAGTCCGTTCTTATCAGTGGCATGGCTCGTCTTTTTCTTGGTTTTTGTTCTCATGTGCCTGCGCAGTCTTCTTGAGGATCTTGCGCGTCTGACGACTCAAAATATTCTCTTTGGCTTTGACTGCGCTTTGCAGTCTCAAACGGATTAGCTGGTACGTCTTTATGTGCTACTCGCACTCGGTTTCCCTTATGGCAAATTTGCTCGTGCCTCTTACGATAATCGTCGGGCCGTATGTTAGATAACTTTTATGGTTAATACGTTTTCCCTCGTAAAATAAATAATAAAGTTTATATAGTCGTCAAAAATCGAATTACATTCAAGACACTAAAGTTTTATTCTTTTTCTTTTGGGTTTTGAACCGCGCATAATTGATAAAGAGCCTTCGCTATAAGAGCAGTCGAGCGAAGAACATGCCCGGAAACGTGGGTTCACATTTCAGCCTCCCGTCGATTTTCGACAAATAAAAGACTAATAGTATTACTAGAAAATAGAAATACATTTAAATGGTATAAGGCCACACAAACCATTATTTTAAATCCAAAATGTATTGCTTTATTTATCGCCTTCGTTCTTAACTTTTACAATTTACTGAATGCCGAATTCGCAATCTGCCGAACAGTAACGAAGCAATTTGCCGACTGGGGCCGACTTGCGAAAATTATTGGGGGGGGTGAAGCACCCCCCCACACCCCCCCGCTCGCGACGGCCCTGCACCGCGTTAAATATCCGCCAATATTAATTAACACTTCGTTAAACTCCCCCCCTGGCATATTCCTATATGGCGGCTACGAACGAGCGGAATCAGTGATGAAAATCATGGTGCACTATGGTGGATATAAAACTGAACATTATTGAGGATATAATATCACGATTAGACAGCTATCCTTGGTGACCCAGATTGTGTAGAGGGATTGGCAATACGATTTGACGTTTTAAAACGATATCTTGTAAATATTAGAATCGACGACATCTGCATGCACTTTGGAATTGCTGGATAGGGTTTGCAAAAATTTAAACCAATTTGAGCAGCGGCAGCGCTATTCCGCCATGAATAACTCTGCATTTCCAGCACAAGTTTATGCCGTGGAAAACCTTTGTAGGCCCTTCGTATGCTATACACGAGGGGCAATTGAATTTTTTATAGCGAAGTAAGTGCAGTATATGATTATGATGAGTGCACGCAAAGTAACTTTGGAGCGGCGAATGAGGTCATTTGGCACGAGTGTGTCAGGTAAGAAAGTTATGCACATCCTACACGGCCGACACAGTAATGAGGACCCCCTATACCTCTTCACAATATGCTTTCACGTAAAAATATTTTGCCTTTTCACGAGTCACGGATTAAGAAAATCATCGATCACGTTTCACGGCTAAGTAAAATAAGCCCTTCACGCTTCACGCAAAAAGTATAGGGGGCCCTCAGTAATTATATATGCAACACGTAGTGTGTATATAGCGTCTTATCATCAGGATTTAATATGATTGACTGCACATTAAGTTTTATACAGAACTACGTATACAGCATAGAATGAGAACGAAAATACCTAGGTATTTACATCTTTCATCTGCACTTCATTTTTTACCGTTTGAAGAAAAAGGTTAGCTTATAGTAATGCACTTCTGAGCAGACATAAAAAGCCCATGTCAGTGGCAGCAGGGCGGTTGGTGGCAGTCAGTCCACTCCAGGAACTTGGCATTTTGGATTAATTCATGAAAACTTGAATTTTATTGAAAACTGAGCTTTCCAGTCCTGTTTTCGTTTAAGGTCGGCAAACCGCAAATGACCTGGTCAGTCTTCGCCAATTCAGAGGTCAGTGTCTAGATTTTTTCACTAACACCAATCCCCACACAAGAAAGTTGTGGTTTCATCTACAATCTACATGCAGTGGCGTAACTACTATGGGCTCAGACCGTGAGAACCCGGGGGCCCCAACCTAAATGGGGGCCCCCAGGCTTAGGCAATAGAGCAAAAACATTGGTCAGGGCCTCTGATATGTTACAATGTAGTTTTATGACCATCAAAATTCTGTAAAATCTCTCCCCAAAGTCCAGGAAATGGCATTTCAGAGAGTCTAAATTCAAAAATTTTCCGGATAAGCATGCCCTGGACCCCCTAGAAATTTCGTGCATATACGGCGCTCGACTCGTGCCTTTGGCACTTCTACTAGGGGGGGGCCTTCGAAAATTTTGAACCGGGGGCCCCCTGATATAACGTTACGCCACTGTCTACATGTATGCATTACATTTACATCAGTTTCCCTAGGTTTGTCGACTTGGGTTTAACATATACAGTGCTGCATAACCACTGTGTTGGCCATGTATAGGATGTGTATAAGCCATAACTTTCTTACCTGACATACTCGTGTCAAATGACCTCATTCGCCGCTCCAAAGTTATTTTGCGTACACCCATCATACTGCTTACTTCGCTATAAAAAATTCAATTGCCCCTCGTGTATATCATACGAACGACCTACGAAGGTTATCCACGGCAAAAACTTGTGCTAGAAATGCGGAGTTATTCATGGCGGAATAGCGCTGCCGCTGCTCAAATTGGTTTAAATTTTTGCAAATCCTATCCAGCAAATTTTTCCAAAGGCAAAGTGCATGTAGATGTCGTCGATTCTAATATTTACAAGATATCTCTTTAAAACGTCAAATCGTATTGCCAAGCCCTCTACACAATCTGGGTCACCAAGGCTAGCTGTCT